AGTGGCTGTATCAGTTTACATTCCCACCAACAGTGCAGGAGGGTTCCCTTTTCTCCACACTCTCTGCAGCCTTTGTACATTGTTGTATTAATTTCTGCTGTGCAGCAGTGTGATTCAGTTATATATATATATATATATATTCTTTTCAATTATGGTTTATCACAGGATATTGAATATAGTTTCCTCTGCTATACAGTGGGTCTTTGTGGTTTGTCCATCCTATGTAGAATACTTTGCTTCTGCTATTCCAAAACTCCCAATCTTTCCTTCACTCTCTCCTTGGCAACCACAACTCTGTTTTCTATATCTCTGTGTTTGTTTCTGTTTCATTGACATGTTCATTTGTGTCCTGTTTTCGATTCCACATATAAGTGATATTATATGGTATTTGTCTCTCTCTTTCTGTCTTACTTCACTTAGTATCATTATCTCTAGGTCCATCCATGTTGCTACAAATGGCATTATTTCATTCTTTTTTATGTCTGAGTAATATTTATTGTATACGTATACTATACCTTCGTTATACATTCATTTTTCAATGAACATTTAGGTTGTTTCCATGTCTTGGCTATTATCAATAGTGCTGCTATGAACATAGGGTTTTATGTATCTTTTTGAATTATAGTGTTGTCTAGATATATGTCCACAAGTGGGATTGCTAGATCATATGACAACTCTAGTTTTTTTGAGGACCCTCCATACTGTTTTCCATAGTGGCTGCACCAACTTACATGGCCACCAACAGTGTAGAAGGGTTCCCTTTTCTCCGTACCCCATCCAGCATTTGTTAATTGTAGATTTTTTTAATGATGGCCATTTTGATCAGTGTGAAGTGATACCTCATTGTAATTTGGATTTGCATTTCTCTAATAATTAGTGATGATGAGCATCTTTTCATGTGTCTATTGGCTATCTGTATGTCTTCTTTGGAGAAATGTTTCTTTAGGTTTTCTACCCATTTTTCCATTGAGTTATTTGTTATTTTGTTACTGAGTTGTATGAGCTGTTTGTATAGTTTGGAAATTAAGCCCTTGTCAGTCTCATCATTTGCTAATATTTTCTCCCAGTCCAAAGGTTGTATTTTCATTTTGATTATGGTTTCCTTTGCTGTGCAACAGCTTATAAGTTTGATTAGTTCCTGTTTCTTTTTTGCTTTTACAGTAAGTCCCCTACATATGAACAAGTTCTGTTCCAAGAGTACGTTTGTAAGTCCAATTTGTTTGTAAGTCCAACAAAGTTAGCCTAGGTACCCAATTTACACAGTCGGCTATATGGTATTGTACCGTAATAGGTTTATAATACTCTTCACACAAACAATACATAAAAAACAAACACAAAAACAAAGAAAACATTTTTAATCTTACAGTACAGTAACTTGAAAAGTACAGTAATACAGTACAACAGCTGGGATACTCGGGCTGGCATCGAGGGAACAGGTGAGAAGAGTTACTGATTAGTGGAGGGAGTGGAGGTGGGAGAAGGTAGAGGTGAAGGATTATCAGCAGTAGGAGACAGAGGGCAAGCTGCCATTTCACTCATAACTGACGTTGATGACACAAGTTCTGGTTCCTTGCTGGATTTAATTCTATCTACCCTCTTGAAAAAATGATCAATTAATATCTGGGCAGTAGCTCTTTTTTTTTCTCATCATAGATGACAAGGTAGCACTGAATTTCATTCTGAATGGCTGCTGCCACCTTTGGGTACCATTCTAGGTTTGGGTCATGTGCCCCCAAAACTAACAGTGCTTCCTCAAATAAAGAAGATTCCCTTGCCATTTTCTGTGTCGTGAATCTCTTCAGTTCTTCAGTTACTACTTCTTCCTCCTGTCCCTCTTCATCCTTTCTCTGGGTCTCCAGTTCCATCAGTAAGCTCCTCATGTTGCACAGCAAGGAGTTCAATAAAATCGTCCTCCTGCAGATCTAGCTCCAGCTTCTTGCTGAGGGTCACTATGTTGCTGAAGACCTCTTTGGACTTCTGATCTACCTTCTCAAATCCACAAAAATCATGAACAAACTGTGGGCAAAGGTTCTTCCAAACCCCATTCATGGTGACTACCATACCTTCACACCATGCAAAGTCAATGTTTTTATGGTCTTGTAGATGTTATAGTCCTTCCAAAGTTGTCCCTAGGTTCCTGATTTGTCACTTACCTTTACTGCCTGACAAAAAGTGTGACATAAATAATATTTCTTGAAAGTCGCTCTACCTCCCTGGTCCATAGGTTGGATGAGCAACATAGTATTCAGTGACAGAGGCACTACTTTGACGTTGGGATGAAAGTCATCCATGCATGGGGGGTGGCCCAGAGCATTGTCGAGCAGCAAAAGAATGTTTTGCTGGAACGTCTTTCTCCAAGCAATATTTCTCTACATCTGGGATAAAGTGGTGGCAAAACCAGTCCTGGAACATGGCCTGTGTAATCCAGGATTTGGGGTTACGCTTCCACACAACAGGAAGAGAGCCCTTGGCTATGTTTTTAAGGGTTCTCGGGTTCTCTGAATGATAAACTAAGAGAGTCTTCAGCTTCAATTCACCAGAAGCATTGCCACCAAACAACAGTTAGCCTATCCTTTGCTGCTTTACAGGCCGGCATCAACTTTTCCTCCTTACTGATGTGACTTCGATCTGGCATCCTCTTCCAGTACAGTTGTATCTCATCCACATTAAAAACCTGGTTGGGTAAATGCACACCATAATCAATAATTTCTCAAAGTGCTTCCGGAAGTTCCCGGACAGCTACCCTATCTGCACTTGCTGCCTCTCCACTTACTTTTACATTGTGAAGGTTGGCTCTAGCCTTGAACCAATAAAACCAGCTATGGCTGGCATTAAAAGATGTGTCCTCTGATTCTTTGCTGTGTTTCTTCTTCAAGTCTTCATAAAGGCTTTTAGCGTTCTCTTGAATCAGCATTAAGCTGAGCAGGACTCAGCGCTGATGTTGATCCTGCATCCTCACACTGAGAAGTTTCTCCATCTCCATCACTTTTCCATGCTTCTTCTATATTTTGTCAACATCGTCAGCACAGCAGACTTCCCATGTTCCATGATCTTGTCCTTGTTCTTTAGATTTGTGCCAATGATTGAATGATTCATGTTATAAAAATGAGCGATGTCTAACATCTTTTTGCCTCGCTCCACTCTCTCAATTACTTTCACTTTTGTTTCCATCATTATCGCTTGGCCCTTCTTATCAGTACCAGCTACATCACTGCTGCTTTTACGCTTCCAGACATCTTGGGCTTGAGATAAAGGTACTGTACTACTGTACTCTATACAGTACTGTAAAGGACACAAAAGCACAACCGCTTATAGAGGATGCACGCACATGACAATGTATGCCAGACACGTGAACTAACTTACATGATTGGACATGCGAATGGGTGTTTGCATCTTTGAAAGTTCGCAACTTGAAGGTTTGTATGTAGGTGACTGACTGTATTTGTTCTGCCTAGGGAGACCTACCTAGGAAAACTGTGGTATGATTTATGTCAGAGAATGTTTTGCTTATGTTCTCTTCTAGGAGTTTTAAGGTGTCCTATCTTATATTTAAGCATGTAAGCAGTTTTGAGTTTATTTTTGTGTATGGTGTGAGGGTATGTTCTGACTTCACTGATTTGAATACGGCTGTCCAACTTTCAAAACACCACTTGCTGAAGAGACTATCTTTTCCCCATTGTATATTCTTGCCTCCTTTGTCGAAGGTTAATTGACCATGGGCGTGTGGGTTTATTTCTGGGCTCTCTATTCCATTCCATTGATCCATGTATCTCTTTCTGTGCCAGTACCATGCGGTTTTGATTACTGCAACTTTGTGGTATTGTCCGAAGTTTAGGAGGGTTATGCCTCCTGCTTTGTTCTTTTTCCTCAGGATTGTGTTGACAGTTCTGACTTTTTATGGTTCCAGATACATTTTAGGATTATTTGTTCTAGTTCTGGGGAAAATGTCATGAGCAATTTGATAGGGATCACATTAAATCTGTAGATTGCTTTGGGTAGTATAGCCATTTGAACAGTATTAATTCTTCCCATCCAAGAGCGTGGAATGTCTTTCCATTTCTCTGAATCATCTTCAGTTTCCTTTACTAATGTTTTGTAGTTCTCAACATATAAGTCTTTCACCTCCTTGGTGAGGTTTATTCCTAAGTATTTTATTTTTTTGATGCGATTTTAAAAAGAATTGCTTGTTTACTTTTCCTTTCTGATATTTCATTGTTAGTGTAAAGAAATGCAACCAGGGACTTCCCTGGTGGCTCCATGGTTGAGAATCCACCTGGAAGTAGAGGGGGCATGGGTTTGAGCCCTGGTGCTGGAAGATCTCACATGCCGTGGAGCAACTAGACCTGTGTGCCACAAGTACTTAGCCTGCACACTAGAGCCCATGAGCCACAACTACTGAGCCCGTGTGCCACAACTACTTAAGCCCGCATGCCTAGAGCCCGTGCTCCACAACAAGAGAAGCCACTGCAATGAGAAGCCTGTGCACCACAACGAAGACTAGCCCCCACTGGCCACAACTAGAGAAAGCCCGTGCACAGCAATAAAGGCCCAATGCAGCCAAAATAAATTAAAAAAAAGAAAAACCAAGAAATGCAACCAATTTATGTATGTTAATCTTGTATCCTGCTACTTTGCTGAATTTGTTTATCAGTTCTAGTAGTTTTTGTGTGGAACTTTTAGGGTTTCCTTTATATATATTATCATGTCATCTGCATATAATGAGAACTTTACCTCTTCCTTTCCAATGTGGTTAGCTTTTATTTCTTTTTCTTGTCTGATTGTTGTAGCTAGGACTTCCAATACTATGTTGAAGAGAAGAGGTGAGAGTGGGCATCCTTGTCTTGTTCCAGATTTTAGGGGGAAGGCTTTCAGCCTATGAACATTGAGTATTATATTGGCTGTGGGTTTGTCATAAATAGCTTTTATTATGTTGAAATATGTTTCCTCTATACCCACTTTGGTAAGTGTTTTTTTTTTTTTTTTTTTTTTGCGGTATGTAGGCCTCTCACTGTTGTGACCTCTCCCATTGCGGAGCACAGGCTCCAGATGCGCTGGCTCAGTGGCCATGGCTCACGGGCCCAGCCGCTCTGCGGCATGTGGGATCCTCCTGGACTGGGGCACGAACCCGTGTCCCCTGCATCGGCAGGTGGACTCTCAACCACTGTGCCACCAGGGAAGTCCTGGTAAGTGTTTTTTATCATGAATGGATGTTGAAGTTTTTCAAATGCTTTTTCGGCATCTATTGAGATGATCATTTGTTTTGTGTTTTTCCTTTGTTGATGGGGTGTATCATGTTGATTGATTTGCATGTGTTGAAACAACTTTGTGACACTGGGGTGAATCAAATTTGGTCATGGTGTATGATCCTCTTACGTGTTGTTGGATTTGGTTTTCTAATATTCAGTTGAGAATTTTTGCATATATATTTATCAAAGATGTTGGCCTGCAATTTTCTTTTATGGTAGTGTCTTTCTCTGTGTTTTTTCTAAAGTCTTTATTGAATTTTTTCCAATATTGCTTCTGTTTTATGTTTTGGTTTCTTGTTTGTGAGGCATGAGGGATCTTAGCTCCACCATCAGGGATTGAAGCAGCCCCCCTTGCACTGGAAGGAGAAATCTTAACTCCTGGACCACCAGAAAAGTCCCCATCTGTTTGTTTTTTTGTTTTTTTTTTGTGGTACGCGGGCCTCTCACCGTTGTGGCCTCTCCCGTTGCGGAGCACAGGCTCCAGATGCGCAGGCCCAGCGGCCATGGCTCACGGGCCTAGCTGCTCCACGGCATGTGGCATCCTCCCAGACTGGGGCACAAACCCGTGTCCCCTGCATCAGCAGGCGAACTCTCAACCATTGCACCACCAGGGAAACCCCATCTGTTTTTGTTTGTTTGTTTGTTTGTTTTAGTAAATTTCTTTCTTTCTTTATTTTTGGTTGCATTGGGTGTCTGTTGCTCTTCACGGGCTCTCTCTAGTTGTGGCGAGCGGGGGCTGCTCTTCATTGTGGTGTGCAGGCTGTTCATCGTGGTGGCTTCTTTTGTTGCAGATCATGGGCTCTAGGTGCGCAGGCTTCAGCAGTTGTGGCTATCAGGCTCAGTAGTTGTGGCTCCTGGGCTGTAGAGTGCAGGCTCAGTAGTTGTGGCACACAGGCTTAGTTGCTCCGTGGCATGTGGGATCTTCCCAGACCAGGGCTCAAACCTATGTCCCCTGCATTGGCAGATGAATTCTTAACCACTGTGCCACCAGGGAAGCCCCCCCATCTGTTTTTGATATCAGGGTGATGATGGCTTCATAGAATGTCTTTGGAAGTATTCCCTACTCTTCAATCGTTTCGAAGAGTTTGAGAAGAATCAGTGTAAGTTTTGCTTTGTATATTTGGTAGAATTTGCCTTTGAAACCATCTGATCCTGGACTTTTGTTGGTAGGGAGTTTTTTAAATTACAGACTCTATTTTGCTTTTAGTGATCAGTATGTTCAAGTTATCTGTTTCTTCTTGATTCAGTTTTGTTCGGCTGTAAAAAAACAACATATATTTTTAGGTTATGTTAGCACCTAAATACTTACCATGTATTAGACCACAAAAGAGTGAAGAAAAAAATATTAAAATATTTTTTCAAATAGAAAAGCTATTGAAATATTTTTAAGAAATTGGGATAATAATACTAATTACAATAATGAAAAATTGTTCTGAACTTAAAGACTGCTTTATCTAAGATGCTTATTATATGCTTATTATAAGCATGATATTATATGATTATTGTTTTATTGTTTTTAAATACATGGGATGTTTTCTCCTTTCTAACATAATTCGTTTATTTTACCTATAAATTGTGAAAAAAATTTAGTTGCACATAATATAAAAAATTACACTTTAGTAGGAGATATTAATCCAGTTACATTTATTGTAGTACTGAAAATACTTAGGTTTAGAGTTACCATGTTATTGAGTGCTCTTTTTTATTTATTTATTTTTAAAAAAGATTTAATTTGGGGGGGCATAAATTATTTATTTATTTATTTATATCATCTTATTGGACTATAACTGCTTTACAACTGTGTGTTAGTTTCTGCTTTATAACACAGCGAACAAGCTATACATATACATATATCCCCATATCTCCTCCCTCTTGCATCTCCCTCCCCCCCTCCCTATCCCACCCCTCTAGGTGGTCACAAAGCACCGAGCTGATCACCCTGTGCTATGCAGCTGTTTCTTACTAGCTATCTATTTTACATTTGGTAGTATATATAAGTCCATGCCACTCTCTCACTTCATCCCAGCTTACCCTTCACCCTCCGCATGTCCTCAAGTCCATTCTCTATGTCTGCATCTTTATTCCCGTCCTGCCCCTAGGTTCTTCTGAAACATTTTTTTCTTTTTTTTAGATTCCATATATATGTGTTAGCATACAGTATTTGTTTTTCTCTTTCTAACTTCACTCTGTATGACAGACTCGAGGTCCATCCACCTCACTACAAGTAACTCAATTTCATTTCTTTTTATGGCTAATATTCCATTTTATATTGAAGATGTGCAACATCTCCTTTATCCATTCATCAGTTGATGGACACTTAGATTGCTTCCATGTCCTGGCTATTGCAAATAGAGCTGCAATGAACATTGTGGAACATGACTCTTTTTGAATTATGGTTTTCTCCAGGTATATGCCCAGTAGTGGGATTGCTGTGTCATATGGTAGTGGTAGTTCTATTTTTAGGTTTTTAAGGAACCTCCATACTGTTCTCTATAGTGGCTGTATCAATTTACACTCCCAACAACAGTGCAAGAGGGTTCCCTTTTCTCCACACCTCTGCAGCATTTATTGTTTGTAGATTTTTTTGATGATGGCCATTCTTACCTGTGTGTGGTGATACCTCAATGTAATTTTGATTTGCATTTCTCTAATGATCAGTGATGATGAGCATTCTTTCATGTGTTTGTTGGCAATCTGTATATCTTTGGAGAAATGTCTATTTAGGTCTTCTGCCCATTTATGGATTGAGTTGTTTGTTTTTTTGATATTGATCTGCATGGGCTGCTTGTAAAGTTTGGAGATTAATCCTTTGTCAGTTGCTTCGTTGGCAAATACTTTCTCCCATTCTGAGGGTTGTCTTTTCGTCTTGTTTACGTTTTCCTTTGCTGTGCAAAAGCTTTTAAGTCTCATTATGTCTCATTTGTTTATTTTTGTTTTTATTTCCATTTCTGTAGGAGGTGGGTCGAAAAGGATCTTGCTGTGATTGATGTCATAGAGTGTTCTGCCCGTGTTTTCCTCTAAGAGTTTTATAAGTGTCTAGCCTTACATTTAGGTCTTTAATCCATTTTGAGTTTATTTTTGTGTATGGTGTTAGGGAGTTTTCTAATTTCATTCTTTTACCTCTAGCTGTCCAGTTTTCCCAGCACCACTTATTGAAGAGGCTGTTATTTCTCCATTGTATATTCTTGCCTCCTTTATCAAAAATATGGTGACCATATGTGCATGGGTTTATCTGTGGGCTTTCCCTCCTGTCCATTGATCTATATTTCTGTTTTTGTGCCAGTACCATACTGTCTTGACTACTGTAGCTTTGTAGTATTGTCTGAAGTCAGGGAGCCTGATTCCTTGAGCTCTGTTTTTCTTCTCAAGATTGCTTTGGCTGTTCGGGGTCTTTTGTGTTTCCATACAAATTGTGAAATTTTTCATTCCAGTTCTCTGAAAAATGCCATTGGTAGTTTGATAGGGATTGCATTGAATCTGTAGATTGCTTTGGGTAGTATACTCATTTTCACAGTGTTGATTCTTCCAATCCAAGAATATGGTATATCTCTCTATCTGTTTGTGTCATCTTTGATTTCTTTTATCACTGTCTTATTGTTTGTTGAGTAAATGACTTTTGTTGTCTCCTTAGGTAGGTTTATTCCTAGGTATTTTATTCTTTTTGTTGCAGTGGTAAATGGGAGTGTTTCCTTAATTTCTCTTTCAGATTTTTCATCTTTAGTGTATAGGAATGAAAGAGATATCTGTACATTAATTTTGTATGCTGCAACCTTACCAGATTCATTGATTAACTCTAGTAGGTTTCTGGTCGCATCTTTAGGATTCTCTATGTATAGTATCATGTCATCTTCAAACAGTGAGAGCTTAGCTTCCTTTGTCCAATTTGGATTCATTTTATTTCTTTTTCTTCTCTAGTTGCTGTAGCCAAAAATTCCAAAAATATGTTGAATAATAGTGGTGAGAATGGGCAACCTTGTCTTGTTCCTGATCTTGGTGGCAATGGTTTCACTTTTTCACCATTGAGAGTGATGTTGGCTGTGGGTTTGTCATATATGGCCTTTATTATGTTGAGGAAAGTTCCCTCTATGCCTACTTTCTGGAGGTTTTTTTTTAAATCATAAGTCAATGTTTAATATTGTCAAAAGCATTTTCTGCATCTATTGAGAAGACCATATGGTTTTTATCCTTCAGTTTTTTAATATGGTGTATCACATTGATTTGCATGTATTGAAGAATCCTTGCATCCATGGGATAAACCCCACTTGATCTTGGTGTATGATCCTTTTAATGCACTGTTGGATTCTGTTTGCTAGTATTTTGCTGTGGATTTTTCCATCTATGTTCATCAGTGATATTGGCCTGTAGTTTTCTTTCTTTGTACATCTTTGTCTTGTTTTGGTATCAGGGATATGGTGGTCTCATAGAATAAGTTTGGGAGAGTTCCTCCCTCTGCTATATTTTGGAAGAGTTTGAGAAGGATAGGTGTTAACTCTTCTCTAAATGTTTGATAGAATTTGCCTGTGAAGCCGTCTGGTCCTGGGCTTTTGTTTGTTGGAAGATTTTTAATCACAGTCTCAATTTCAGTGCTTGGGATTGGTTTGTTTATAGTTTCTATTTCTTCCTGGTTCAGTCTTGGAAGCTTGTGCTTTTCTAAGAGTTTGTCCATTTCTTCCAGGTTGCCCATTTTATTGGCATATAGTTGCTTGTAGTAATCTCTCATGATCCTTTGTATTTTTACAGTGTCAGTTTTACTTCTCCTTTTTCATTTGTAATTCTATTG